TATAGTAAAATGGTCAAGTGAGTTTGTTTCATGAGGTCATAAGCATAAAAGAATATCTGACAAACAAGTTCACAGACACAGATGTATTTGAGATCAAAGAATAATTTCTAGTTCCATATTAGATTGAGATTAATTTGACTTGCAAAAGATAAGAGAGAGAGAGAGAGAGAAAAAACCTAAAGGGAGTTCCTTCTTGGTAGTATGAATAACATTTAAAATTATATTTGAAATAAATAGGTAAAATCATTTATAAAGGCAAAAGCCAAGTATTAATAATTATGTGTTAAAATCTGAACTGAATATCATGTTCCAGAAATGGGGTATTTGTTTTATTCAATTAAATTTTTAGCAAGAGAAAGAAAAACCTTTTTTGTTTAATCCTTGACCAAAGTATTTAAAAAAAAAATTATATAAGTTGACATTTTTGCCTAAATAAAATGAAATAGTGTCTTGGGAAATCGAAGAAGAAAAATACAGTTTATGTTCATGGAGAACTTAGAGTTTAGAGGAGAGAATGACATATACAAAGATGATACTTTAACAGCTACAACTGAAATATGTACCAAGTACAGTGGAAAACGTTCAGAAATGAGGACAGAAGAAATATGAGAATTCCAATATGACATTCTTCCATCAGAAAAATCTTTCTAACATGGATGGAACTTGAATAGACACAGTAAGAATGGGTAAGAGTTTGGTGAGTGGATAAGTGGACAGAGAACTGTCGAAGCAAAGGGAAGAGAACATACAAAGGCTCAGAGATGCTGAGACCATAGTATCTTTGAATGTCAGGGCATGGATCCAGAATGATGGAAAAGAGTTGGAGCCCATTTGAGATGTCCTATGATACATCTTGTATTTTAATCGGTAACATTTTTTATTATTTGTTTAATTTTCCCACAGCATCTCTGTGAGCACTGGCTTTATTTTGCTTTATTTTCTGCCACTTTTTATTAATAAATAAGATATGTAGAGAAAAGTACCAAGCGCACAATGATATAGCTCAGTGATTTTTCAGTTCAGGCACACGCGTGAAAACACCATCCAGACAGGAAATACAGTACTACCCAACCAGAAGCCCCCCAGGCTATCTTCCAAGCACTAGTGATCTCTCTTCCCTGGCAGCCCCTCCTGCAAGCAATACCCTGACTTCTACATCACCAACAGTTTTACCTGTCTTTGAAATTTATATAAATGAAATAGGGTACATATTCTTTTATGTCCACTTTCTTTCCCTCAAGGTGATGTTTGTGAAATTCATCCGCATCACATATGGCGATAGATAATTTGTGTACCTTGCTGTGTACTATGCCCTTACATGAATGCACCACCATAAATGCAAATTTATCCATTGCACTGTTAACAGATATCCTTGCATTGTTTTCAGTTCGAGCCTATTATGAGCACTGGTGCATTCCTGCACATGTCATTTGGAGAACATATGTACTCAGTTCTAAGCGGGTTTACACCCAAGAATGGATTTACTGGGTCATTAGGTCATGCTACGTGCTTGTATGGATTCATAGTCCGACCAGGAGTGTATGAGAGTTTTACTTGCTCTATACTCTTACAAAACCTGAAATTTTGATTCTCATCTTTCTGCTGAGTGTGTAGTAGTTTCTCATTGTGATTTTAGTCCACATATCCTTAGTGACTGAGTTGGGGAGGTGCTATTTTCCTATGATTTTTAGCTATTATCCTAATACTAAATGGCCTAACTTAATTCTTTCACATGCTATTTTTAACGCACTTAGCAGGCCTTTCAGTCACCATCATTGTCACCTGACCAAGGGAGTGTGGGGGCTAGGAACTGCTGAAGAGCATTTTAAACAATTATTGACAACAATATATCTTCAAGAAGTAATTTTCTCCTCTCCTCTTGTCTTACCATCTTCATTCCTCTACTCTCCTGATCTATTTGTCCACCCTAACTGCCTTCTTCCCTTCTGTATTTCCAGTCCAAAAAGCTCAATAAATAGAAGGCAATTAACAATGTCCAAGTTCTGTCTCGGGAGTTCAATAGATCGGTAACAAGTTTACATCTGAGACCCAGCCTTCTTACTTTAGGGCTGCCAAAGGTTTGCGGGTTTGGGTTGGTTGGTTGGTGGGTTTTATAAATGAAACAAGTCAGCATGCCTATTTATTTGAAAATAGATGGATCATTCATAAAATTTAAACAGGATAAATATTAAATGTCTCCTTTTTGTTATAAATCATGAACAGTGTGGGCGCCTGGGAGGCTCAGTTGGTTACGCGACCGCCTTCGGCTCAGGTCATGACCCCGGAGTCCCGGGATCAAGTCCCGCATCGGGCTCCCTGCTTGGCGGGGAGTCTGCTTCTCCCTCTGACCCTCCTCCCTCTCGTGCTCTCTCTCTCTCTCATTCTTTCTCTCAAATAAATAAATAAAATCTTTTTAATAAATAAATAAATAAATAAATAAATAAATCGTGAACAATGTTTTAAAGAAATATCAGAAGCATTTTAAAGAAATATCAGAAGGAAAATGGAAAAAAAAAATGGTATCTATTGTAAAAAGAGAACAATAAAAGAAGATATATACAAGGGTGCTTTCTTTCACTTTCCCTAAAGACCAAATACAAGTCACACTTGGCAAAACTAAAGTAGCCATGATCTTTTCCCTCCTCTGCATGATTAATTACTTCATGTCCTATTAATTGGAAGATGTGGCTGAATTTCAAACACTTTCATTTTCTGTGCATATCATCCTGTACTGTAACCACCGATTAAGCTGTTCATCAGCGGTGAGCCAACAAGGTCATCTGAGCAGTATCTCTTCAGCTATTCATTATCCATCTTCAATGGTAATTAACAATGGTAACATTTCCATAAATCAACATCTTTCTGATTATTCTCTGATGATAAACAGTCAAAATGTGTGCATCCCAGCTCCCCTTTTAATTTTATATATATAAAAAAAATTCTATATACCACAGAGAAAGCACAGGTGAAATACTGCAGGAGTTTCTTCAATTAAAGTGTATGCAGAAAATAAGGTTATGTACCTTTGAAAGAGAAATACAAACCTATGCAGAAAACTAAATGGTTCTGTTGGCAACACAGGGGGCAAACATAAGAAGCAAAGGGCATCAGCCACCTAGTATCAATTTATTCCTCTGGCAAGAAAACATGGCTCAGTTCAGCTTCAAAGATAACCATTTGCCTACTTAACCATGGAAGGTGACAATTTAAAACAGAAAGCAGATTTAATTCACCTTACTCTCAAAACACACATTACAGGGCGGACCAATAAGAACTTGTCAAAGAATATAGTTACTGTATTCTTTTCCAGACCATAATTTGGAAATGTAATTTTTAGGTTTAGTTTTGTTTATTTTGTGTACTAGTGATGCACTGTTGCTTATTGTTGAGGTTTTAAGCTTTTTGGCTCTATATATCAGATTAGTTAGTAAATTCAGAAGCTTTTTGGCTCTATGTATCAGATAAGTTAAATTCAGAAATGTTATTTCTTCCTTGGTTCACTTGAATTGACATTTTCATCTCCAAAGGCTAGTCTAAAATTGTCATTTCTAAAATTCACTCACTAAAGGAAGGTCTTTCTGAATTTGTAGAAAATTATTTATAAAGTATTTTTAAAATATCATAATAAAAGTACTGAAAACAAGTTAAAACTTAATTAGCAACAGGTAATCAGCTTATCAATTACATATGATTATATACTACTACATGGCATATTAATATATTATACTGTTAAATATTACATTGTATATCATTATATATACATGACTATATGTAATATATAGTTATAAGCTGTATTTATTTCTAAATATTGGAAGGAAAATAGTTCATGCTTTTTAATATTATATTTTAGTATTCCTGTTGATATTTTCAATTTTTACAATAGTTATTGTTAAATATACACACACACACGAGATCTGTATATATATATATATATATATATATATATATATATACAGGGTTTGGAATTAGTCCCAAATTAATATGTAGAACTGAAGGCACTTATATTTAGTCTGTACCATTAGTCTAGTACTAGACTAATACTAATTAGTACTAACTTAGTCTAGCACTAATAAATGATAGCATTATAAAATGGTATGTCTATATTGCTATAGTAAGAGAAGTAAGAGAAAACACAAGTCAAAGTGGCTTAACCAGTAAGAAGATGTATTATATCACAAAACCAGAAATCAAAGGATATATCAAGGTCTAGATAAAGAATGAACAGGGCTCAGCACTATTTACCTAAAATTTACCGAGAAAAGACCTCCTTCTCCCTTTGACAATTTTGTCTCCAGGCTGCCTCTTCTCAGAGCCACTTGCATGCTTGACAGCAGAGCCACAATGAGGTAAGTCTTCTCCCCATCACAGAATATAAATCTTTCCTTTCAGTCTGATTGGACTAAACCCACATCATTTAACTGAATAGGCACTAAGTAAGTTGATTTTACATTTTAGATTATTTTAAAATGATTTTGTTATGTTTTTATGGGTTTTTTTTCTTGTTTTTGTTTCCATTTTGCGTTTTTATTAAATAGGAAAAAAAAAAACCAAACCCCAGATGCGCCTGGGTGTCTCAGTCAGTTGGGCGTCTGCCTTTGGCTCAGGTCCTGATCTTGGGGAACCAGGGTTTGAGCCCCAAGTCAGGCTCCCTGCTCAGCGGGGAGCCTGTTCCTCCCTCTGCCTCTGCCTCTCTCCCCTGCTCATGCTCTCTCTCTCTGTTTCAAATAAATAAATAAAATTCTTAAAAATAAAAAAACCACAAATACTTATACTTTTCCAGTCAAAGATAACAAAAACATAGTGAGCATTCTTGAAGAATACAGGATTATAGAAAAGTTACTGAGGGAAAAGCAAAGACAACAATAAGGCTTTTAGATGTGGTCAAGTAGCTTGCCCACAGTAGTTTACTGTAACAAATGATTGTGTTACACCTAAAGTAAGAAAATGATACATATTCCAAAGCCATTCCCCCAACACTGGGTAAACAGAATGATTCTCACCTTGAGGCATCTCAGGTGGCAGATAATGAGGTTCTTGGGCACTAACATGTACCCATTCGAAGTCATCATATAGATCCTGGTGGTAATCACAGGTCCCTGGACCATCATCAAAAGTACAGCCACCTAAAAGAAGAAGAGAAAGATTACTGTTACATTCTACATAGATTTGCTAAAATTGAGAATGTGCTAGAGAAGGAAAGATTATATTGAATAGGTAATCGGCACTCTTAATAATAATTGGTACTCCTGTGTTTGACTGTTCTCGTTAAATTTTCACAGACAATGAATTTCTATCAGTAGTTTCTGTTTGAATCAGAAACCACTTTGAGCCTCAGAAGGAAGGCTGAGGCACAGATTTTGAAAGATTAAAAATAGTAAAAGAGTGAAGCTTTCCTGAAATACACATACACATAGCATCTAAAATCTAAATAGATTTTAGTAACTTCAGTGTGGAGAAGGGAAAGAGTAAAAATTGTCCTTTTTTCATAATGCAAGTTCAAAAAGGTGAAGTTAATATTTAAATCTTACCAAATTCCTTTCTTGAAAGGAACACTTTGAAAGAACATTTGAAATAGCAAATGAAACATATAAAGCTTTATAGGGTCTAAAAGTGTTTGAGGTCCGTGACACATTCTTCCATACTTTATTTAGATTACTTTAATACACACTTATGACTTACAAGGAGGGAAAAAACCAAAACGTAAAACTGATCAGATTAGCCTATAATCACTCTCACCACTTCCACTTTATTTAATAACTTTTTTTTTTTTTTTTTTAATAAATGGAGGTAGCCTTTCCCCTTTATATCAGTCATTTTTCCTGGGTTTCTTTCCAGGAGTAATTTTATGGCAGAAGTAGAATGATTTTGCTTCTCAACCTACATATACAGGTACACAAAACTCAACATACTTAGTTTTATTCAGTTCATGAAAATAAGAACAGGCCTGTATGTCTAATCTTGAAAGAAAATGGATTAGAACTAATGAAAATTCAGCAGCGGGTTTAATGAGAAAAACCAATAACCTGTCTCCTTTCAAGTAAGTTATTTGTTTAGTTTCCATGGGGATCTTTGTGAAGAAATTCAGTGAATTATCTGACCAAACAGCAAACTATGGAGTGGTAAACTTCTGGCCTATAAATTCGTCTCTGTAAACAAGGAATTCATTTTTTTAAACAAAAGTTTGGCAGCTTATATATAAATAAAAATTGCATTCCTCCCATCAATGACAGAGATAAGCAAAGAAGGCAAGATCAGAGCTGTTCAGACGACATTACGGCCCTAATCGTTTTCGAAAGCAGAATATGTATTTGGGCATCCTTGACTCATTCTTATGACTACATCAATCCTTTAAAATAATCAAACTTAGCAGCTTGAAAGCTTAATAATGTCTTTTAAATATCCTAAAATAGCCTCTTTATAAATACTTTCATGGAAAATGATGTACGTCTTAATTTAAAATTAATCAATGAAAAAAAGGTTGCTAGGAAATGCATCTTCATATAGCAAGGGGAAAGTTTTTCTCAAAATATAATTTGCTATCACAAACCCAAAATGACTTACTGCTTTGTAACCCATGCCTTCAGGGCCCCCAATGCCCCATATAATAGTGTGAATGGTCTCTGTATATAAATTTAAACTACCAATGGAACCTACACTGGCTCATTTGGAAGACAAATGACCTTAACTGCTGCCCTTCATAGCCATTGCTAATTTTAGACTCCAGGATTCTGATTAGCTATAACCACTGGAAGTATCTGTACAAAAGAAGTGGGTCAACCCCTACTATTTGTTGTTGCACATCACTGCCAGATCAGTCAAGAGTTTTGGAAATAGTTACTGGTACACTTGACTTGAGTGGTAAGAAAACTTTTAAAAGATGATTTTTTTTCTACTGCAGCTTATAGTAAATTCTAATCTAAGAGGTACCATATATCTATTTACAACACATAGGGCATATAAATAAATCTCTTATAAAACATTTTTTAATCTTTTTGTATTTTAAATTTCAAGGGTAAGTACTAATACTGTATACTGAATTAAATGACAGGAAATTAAAAAAAAAAAAAAAATGTTCCTGGCCTGATGAATGGCATAGTGACATAGGCAGACATTTATATGTATAAATACTGTGTGTTATAAAGGATAATAACAGTATGACCAAGGTCACAAGGAACACAAACGACAAATGAACTGGCTACCTACACCAGGGGTGGTTAGAGAAGGCTTCATGTATTTAGGCCTATAAAGATGAGTAAAGATAATACTGGGCCAGAATGGAGATAGGACTAAAATTAGAGAAAAACAAGAGCAAAGGCATGCAACTCTAAAGAAACATGAGATTTGTGGGGATCCCAAATATCCTCAAAAATTTCTGTGTTATGAACATGAAAAGTATGTAGGGGACAAGGCAGAAATAAAACTAAATACGGAAGATTTTAAATATAAAATGCTTAGATTTTATTCTGTAGTTGTATTGAAGACATCAAAAGATTTTATCCAGGAGTAGGGCAAAATTCAAACCATGCCAAAAATAATAGCAACAACAATAATAGTAATAACAACTCTAGTAGTCATGTAGAGTCTAAAGAGGAATGGAGGAAAATGGAGGTGGAGTGTTTGGTTCAACCTTACAATAGATAACACATAACAGATAACAGATAACACGAGATGATATATCTTGAGGTAATCCCATTATATACAATCCCTGTTTACCATTTAAAGCTCACTAGAAAGTCTTATAAACAAAGTCTTCTAACACATAGTCTTCTATACACATGTTCCTGAGTTCAAGACGTCTTCATATATAGCATTAAAATCTACTTAAATGAATTTAATGTTTCTCTGAGCTAGATGACAGAACAAAAGGAGGCAAAATGTTCAAGAACTTAAGTTAGGTAGAGGGGATGAAAAATAGCAAGGAAACAGCTTACATTTCAGTTGTTGTATTTGCCACCAGCAAGACTACAATGAGTATCTGCAAATCACGTCAGAGAAACAGCAATCACAAGTTCCTTGACCCTTGGAGGAAATTTGCTTCTGAAGAGCCATTTCAGAGACTGCCAATTCCTCCATACCAATCAATCAACTAAGGGACAAACCTATCACTGCAATGGTCTGCTTCCACTTATGGGGCTTTGCAAACTGTTTACCTGAAGATAAAAATCAAGCTAATTTGGATTTACCTGACTTTCTTTCCATTCCTAAGCTGCTCAATGAAAGGACTGGTACTAAGAAACATTAGTATCCCAATCCCAAAACGATATTGTCTAAACATCCAGCATTTAGACTCTTGAGTGTTTAAACAGATGGTGGTAGACTCTACGAGAGAGCATGGAATAGAAACCCTATCTGTGGAATCCTGAAAGAAAGAATACTATGGGCGCCTGGGTGGCTCAGAGGGTTAAAGCGTCTGCCTTCGGCTCAAGTCATGATCCCAGGGTCCTAGGATCGAGTCCCACAATCAGGCTCCCTGCTCAGTGCAGAGCCTGCTTCTCCCTTTCCCTCTGCCATTTCCTCTGCATGTGCTCTCCGGCTCTCTCTCTCTGTCAAATGAGTAAATAAAATCTTAAAAAAAAAAAGAAAGAAAGAAAGAAAGAATACTAATCGCAAATCCTTTCGGACGTCAAAGTTTTCAATAAATAAAGTGTTGGGTTAATTTAGAACAAAGTTAAATTGGAGAAAAATAAGTTTCAAAAAATTAAAAATAAATTAAATTTAAAAAATAAAATTTAAAAAAATTGGTGAGAAATACAAAGTCAGTGGGGCCCTGGACAGCTCTGAACATTTTGTAAAGGACATTCTTTTAAAAGATATTGTACTAGGGGTGCTGGGATGGCTCAGTCGGTTAACCAACTGACTCCTGACTTCAGTTCAGGTCATGATCTCAGGGTTCTGTGATTGAGCCCTGAGTCTGGCTTCTTGCCCAGTGGGGAATCTGCTTGAGGATTCTCTTTCCCAATTCCTCTGCCCCTCCCCCCACTGACGTATCCCCGCACATGCACGCCAGCTCTCTCTTTTTCTCTCTCTCACAAATAAATCTTTACAAAAAAATTTTTTTAATATTGTACTAGGATATTCCACATTCTCCCCTCCAGGGCACTTATGCAGTCTTAATTTCCTGACTGAATACAATAGCAAGAAACATACAGAATTTTCTTTTATGGTTCTTTACTATATACAAAGAACAAGCTTCATTTAGTTGAAAACACAGATTATTTTTCTTTGTATTTCCTTAAATAGTTTGGAATAACAAGGTTTTAAAAAGAGAAACTCTTGGACAAAATATGTTGGCAAATACAATATCCTTAGCACACCTGTTTATGATCTTCAAAAATGGACACATTAATCTTTTCCAATTGTGAATTAAGCTGTGATATACAAATTCACTCATGTAAGTGATCATCAACTTTGCAATGATCTTTCTTCCATTAAGAACAAAAAGATTAACACGTTACATTAGGACACATGCAATACTGAATTAAACTAACTTTGAATAGATCATCTTTATCTATGCTAATCAGAAACCATAATATAAGTTTACTGGTATAATCCCCAAAACTCATTACAAAGAGGCCGATACATTTCACCAAAAAATTCAAAAGAACAAAAAAGGAATTTATTACTAAGTATCTTAAATGTAATTCTACCTATGATCTGAGTCAATATATTCTATTCCCAGAAAAACAGATTATTGGAAAAAGTGTAAAAATTTATGCTTTTATATAAGGTTCATATTTCTTCTCAAATCTACTGGGTTATCTTAATGGCTTTTTTCTTTGTTTTTCTTTTCAACTCTACAGTTCTAGGAATACGGGACGAAATAAGAATTAACAAAGCCATGATCAATGTTTAGGTAGTTTACATCTGCTCTAAAAATCAGCAACATTTTTTCTCAATTTAAGTACTGAAGTTCAAGTAAGAAAAAAAAATCCAAATAGATGCAAAGTACAAATGCCTTTGGGAGCATAAGTACGAGTCACTGGTCGTAATCCATTGCTCTGATTCAATACTAAAGAGGATCTACTGAAGAAAAATGAGAAGATTCATTTTGCTTAAAAGATAATCACTTCAGATCAAAAAAAAAAAAAAGGCTTTTACCCTGCTAGTAACTAATCAGTATGTG